ATTCCTGATTAGGGGAGTTCAGATGATAACTGCTCTTTCATATTGGCAATAATTTATACACACAAGGCATTGTTCTAAATAAATAGTTTACAACATAATTACACTTAATTTATACCATATGAGGTGTATGCATTTGTCAGGGTTCTCCAGAGACACAGAACCAATAGGATGTGTGTATCTTTGGGTTCTGTATCCTTAGATACAATCAACTGGGGATTAAAAATATTCTGTATGGAACATGTATAGAATTTCCTTGTCACTATTTCCTAATCAATACATCACAACAGCTGTTCACATAGCATTTACATTTCATTGGACATCATAAAAAATATAGATTTAAAGTATATGGAAAAATTTGCATAGATTAAAAATCTGGACACCCTAGGGAGAAGGGAAGGATAAAGTTAGAAGTATAAATAACTTGCAGGAATGTCCATGTTTATTGCCAACTAAAAAGAAGGAAGTTAAAGATAATGTGTAAATAGACTCATTCCACTTGTTCACCAACAATAAATCCCCCGCATTCTAATAAACCATTTGTTTAAACAAGGAGAAAGGTGTGCACAGTGACAGCCTGGGGGTATGGTACTGGCAGAAGAGCCAGGTAAACAGGGTGGGGAGAAATATGTTTAGCTATGTTTATACAATCTTCATTTTTTATTAAAGATGACTAATTTTACAATTTGAAAAGACAAACTTAATAATAAACAGAGTAGCAATTATGTAAAAAAACAAGCTTAGAGGAGAGTTACAAATATTTAAAGAATAGTAATGACAAAAGATTTTCTAATTCTTTTTAACTCTTTGGATTCTTCTATTCCATCTCATTCCTGAGGCTCTCTAATAGCCAACCAATTTTTGAACTCTATCTTTTGTCATTACATAGCCATAGCTGAGAAAGGAGAACCAACATGTGAATTATTGGCAGTTTTGACATATTGTCCTATGCTATAATGAAGCCTGAAACCAAAAGGACATGCAAATATATTTTCCTAAAATAAAGTGTAAAGAATGAAAGGGCATATTGGATCCCAAGAAAAATGGATACAAATAAAAAATTAGAAATATTTTGGTGTATTTACTTTAAGGATAAAGAGTCCTTTGAGATCACTCCTTCACTTCCAACAACCCAAAACCAAAAGAACAGCAAAACAACACAACTGTTTACTCATGATCTTTTAAAAAAGTAATAACTCCTGTGCATGAACAGATGAAAAAAAAAGAAACAAATTGCTTAAGGTATCAGAACTTTGTCACATTCAGAGTCTCTTCTCTGTGAGTCACTTTTTGACTCAGAGGCATTGGTGTTTTCTCACACAATGTGTTCTTTGGAATATTAAGAGCATCAGTGATGAGCATGTCATTAAAGGAAACCACCATCATCTCTGACATTTTCTGAGACCCAATTAGCAAGTTTGATGTTGACACCTCTCTAGTCAATGGAAATATCAATGAAGTTGTTCAGATCTGAACAAGAACTTATTTTTCTTCTTGATCAGTCCTTATATGGCTTTTTTTGAATGAAGATTGCTTTCCAGTCTTGTCACCAGGAATATTACTAAATTTGCACATGAATAGGCCTACCATTATGTCCTGTAACAAGGTGACTCCTTGAAGGAAGAATAGATATCATGTACTCTATAGTATCATATTATTCTTGTAAAATACTCACCATCCTTCTCTTTGATAGGATAATTCATGTATGGTCACAGACATTATATTTCCCATAGGACTTCTTCTGGGTAATGGAATATAGGGCAAGTGAATGGTGTCACTTCCACTAGCAGAAATTTTAAGAACCATCATGTTATCCCTACCTTTCTTTTCCCTCTCTAATACCAGCATGCCCCACACAAAGGCTGCTTCTTTAGCCTGCATCCTGGAAATTAAGAAAATATAGATTAAGCCAAAGTTGACCATTACAAACATAACATGAGTGAAAGATAAATTTAGCTACAAGTTATTGTGAATGTTTGTTACTGCAGCATAACTTAACTTAAACTGATTGATACAACTCTCCAAGATTACAGAATTTAAATCCTTATTCTTATATGGTCTACATGCTTTTCTGAAGAACTCTGGATTTAGGTAGGACCTCTGGATGGTAGACAATCAGTAGGTGTTTGCTGATCAGCCTTCCTTTTGGGTGAAATTCAAGTTCAAATTATTTCAGGGAAGTTAGGGTGAATGCAGAGTGATATCACCTGAGATGTGTTTAAAACAAGTCACTCTGGGCCTATTTAGCATACTAAGAAGATATGGCTGAGTCACAGCCGTGTTGTTGAGAGCTACTGTTTAAACCTGTATTGTCATGAAATACCTTAAAAACGTAAGGTTAGAAGACATTGTTGAGAGTGGAGATGATACCTCAGTTGGAGACATCATAGTTGGTCACAGTGTGGAGAAGGTGCGTTGGGGAGGGAAGGGAAGCAGGAAGATATTATAGCTCTGGAAGGTTCACTCTTAATTTTTCTTCTTTCCTTGCAATTAAACTTGATTCCATGATTAAATTTATTAATCCGTAGACAATAGCTCTATTTTTTTCTCTCCAAAGCAGAAAACTCAACATCTTCACACAGAGTTCCAATGGGGAAGTGGTGGAATTCAAAATGTGTCAGGGATCCAACTGCAGTTCAGATTTGGTGGATTCAACAATTTGCAGCAGCTCTTCACAAAGTACAGGTTGTAGTTTCCTCCTGGGATGATCCCACGAGGCTCCTTGTCAGTAATGCTGCTGTAAAGTAGAATGAAACCCTTAGTTGAGCCTTGTACAGCAGAAACAATGATTGAGCAGAAGGTGACACATTAAAAATGTCACAGGAATGGGGCACTGTGGTGCACCCTTCTTGCATTCCAGAAACTCAGGGGAATAAGTTTGAAGCCAGCTTCAGCAACTTAGTGAGACTCTCAACAGCTTAGTGAGACCCTGTCTCAAAATAAAAAATAGAAAGGGCTGGGGATATAGCTCAGTGGTAAGGCACCCCTGGTACCCACAAACCACGCCCCCTGCCAAAAAAAAAAAAAAAGCAAGGCCCAGGGCAGAAAGCTGATTTTTTTCCCCCTCACCTTCTGGTTAGGGTGAGTTAAAGACAGTTACAGACAGACATGGGGGAATTAATTTTGGCTCTCAAATTCTGTGTGACTTCCAGGATTTTTCCTATTTACCAGAAGAAGCAGAGATAGAATCAATCTTTGTAATGCACCTGCACATAAAAGAGAGCTGATGGGATGATGGGGATACTGATTTTGTGAGAAGAAACCATAGAAGGTGGAGATGGCTGCATGGGTCCATGGTGGCTGCTTATCCACTATAGTCTATCACCATGTTGTCAGATGGATAGTTTTGATCCCCTTGGAAGGGAGGCAATAGCAGGTGGAGCATGGGTGGATGGGCATGAATTATCTTTGTGGGTAGATGGGCATGAATTATCTTGGTTGTGCTGGCACTAATTTTCCTTGAGTGGACATAACCTCCCTAAGCCTCTGCTATATCAAATGCAAAAAAAGAAAAATAAAGTAATAGTGCTCAACATACAGTGATTGCAAGTTGTAAGTGACATAATTCATACGAAGTGACAGATGTATAGCTGGTACATATTAAATACTTGAGCAGTTCTACTGAGAATTTTAGTTCCTAGTCTTACCTGAGAAAAGTCAAAGTGAAATGTTGATATAATTGATGTTCAGTCTTACGTTAAAATAAGAGTTATAAAAGTAAGTGGAAATCTTAAGATTGATTTGACTATTAATAAGCAAGTACAGAGAAGTTATAATCAAGAGTACAACACCTAAGGAGACTAGCACAGGAGTGGAAGAGAGGAGGAAAGGGGAAGGGAAGATATTGGGAGTGAAATCGACCAGATTATGTTGTTATAATGTGTGTGTGTACAAATACATAAAAATGAATTCTACTCATGTATAATTGCAGTGTACCTATAACAATATAAATATAAAAGAAAAATAGTTTCATTAAAAACAAAATTGTAATACCTGCTCAACAGACTTTGGCAACAAGACACCACTGTGGTTGCGTTGCCAGGTAAACTGGAGCTGAAGGCATTCTCTAAAATGTGATGGCAGTTGATGTCCTCGGGGGTGCCAGAGAGTATGCCTAGAAGTGGAATAGAGTGCATTTATTTTCATAATTAGTGGTCACCGAACTCTCCTTCGGTTCTAAGCTTCTTCCCAGCCGCCTCCACGCCACACATTTAAATTTACAATACGCTTAATGGCAGCTCTGACTCTCAGCTTTCTGCAGCAGCATATGCTGCATATAAGGATTGGAGACCTTGCTTTCTTGAATGCTGCCTTCCGTGGGCACCCAGGACACAAGGACAGGATGTAGTACCTGCGACGCAGGCTGTCATGAAGCAAGCAACAGTCCCTGCGATCAGAGCTCTTACAGATCCAGCGACGATGTCCCGCTTTCTGCCAGGCGCTAGAGAGGCTGGGAGACATGAAAGGAGCTGGTTGAGATTAATGTTGATTCTACTGGTTAGAAATCCAAATTTGTAGCCTCTAAAAAGTGTTCTGATATTGGAGTTTCAGGTCAGTTGGAAAGAAACAAGTCCTTAGTTTTATCCAAAGGGCTCAGACAGCATGGAGAGCATGGCAAATCTAAGGTGATGCATGGAGGGATGGATTGATGAGATGGTCTGAGATGGTGACTCAACTGTCACCAACTATTTCCATGCCTGTGGGAGACATTACTCTTAAATCACAGCATTTTCCCACCAATCTTTGATTGGTTCCCAGAATCCTTCTGCAGGGAAGTATTATAAATCCATACATAATGGTACATCCATTAATCCTAGCTACTCAGGAGGCTGATGCAGAAGGATAACAACTGTGAGACCATCCTGGACAAGTTAGCAAGGCTGTGTCTCAAAGCAAAAAAATTAAAGGACTGGGGGTATGGCTCAGTGGTAGAGTAACCCTGAGTTCAATCCCCAACAAAACAAAATAAAAATCAATCAGTCAATCTACTAGTGTTAGTATACAAGTGAAACTTCTGTGTTACTTTGGGTTGGGAGAGGCATCTGTAAGTTTGACGATATTGTTTCTGAGGTTAGTTTGGGTTTACACAGGAAATCTATCTTGTAGAGTGGGGATAAAAAATAGACCCCAGAGGATTTTATACTATCGAGGGTAACTTTTCTCCTGACATGAATAAGATGTGAGATGGAGTGAGATGGAGATTCAAAGTATGTTTATGTTACATCTGTTGTAGAAGAATATCTTTTCACTTACTGAGTCCACCGATCACTATTCCTAGGGAACCAAAGTTGGCAAACCCACAGAGGGCATAAGTGGCAATTGTCTCGGAACGAATCTGCAAGCAAGCATAAACACCAATGGATCCATGATCTGACCCAGCCTAAGAAACCTGACATCCCAACTTGGCTTTGTATTTTGACTACAGAATTGATATTAACACATAAATGCACAGCATATAGTGGCAAATACCCATTGTTTCCTAGACAGTTTTTACCACCTCCCTTGAATTTTGAGAGAGGGTGAAGAGGGCCGTGTAGATTCAAGAAATGCTCTACAATGGACTTTGAATTGGTGGCCTTGGTTTCTAAAAATGCTACTTCTTGCTCATTGGTAATTTCCAATATTCCACAGGACCTGGCCACCTGCTACAGTGTGCCACGTGTAGTACTAGTTGGTGGAGATACAAAATTGGTCCCAGAAAATATTCACATTACATTTATTTTACAAAGAACTTATTCAAAATATATAAAGAAATGCTATTACTCGATAAGAAGACAAATACTCAAGGAAAAATGGGTGGAGAGGTTTCGATACTTCACAAAAGATGCAAATGAACAAGAAGCTCATGAAAAGGTGCTCAATATCATTAGCCACCAGGGAAATGCAAATAAAAAACAATGAGATACCACTATACATTTACTAAAATGGCTAAAGTTTAAAAAGACTGACAACACGAAGTATGGCAAAATTACAATGCAACGGAAACTCGTGTATTGCTGGTAGGAACGCAAAAGGACACAGCCATGCTGTTTTACGGCAGATTCTCATCAAGTTAATACATGCTGCCTGTATGAACCAGCAATTTTCCTAAGAGAATTATAAAAACACACGACCCCCCAAATACTGTACATGAATATTTATAACAGCTTTACTCTTAATAGCCCCACACTTAAAACAACTCAAATGTCCTTCAGTAGGAAAATGGACACAGTATGAATATCTATAAAATAAAATGCTGCTCTGCAAGAAAAAGAAAATGGAAGTAATATATACAACAACATGAATGCTGAATGCTTATTGAAAGCCAAAAGTAATCGACAGTGAAAGAAAGATCATTGGTTGCCTGGGACGAGGTCTTCACGGGGTTGTTGACTACAAAGGGCCTGGAGGAAAATTAAGAAATAATATTAGTAAAAGAGAAATTCTCATATATCACAGGGGCTTCCGTCTAGTCTGGCCACAGTGTGTGCTTCCCTTTCTTTCTCAGTTCTGGTCATACCAAGGACATGTTTGGTTGCCCATTTGGAAGCAAGAGAAGGAAGAAAGGTATCTACATCATTGGGACAATAATTTTTTTCCAATATCCTAAAACATCTATGATTTGGTTCAAAGAACAAACCAAACATGCTACATTCACTAGTAATACTTTATTTTTTTCTTGTGCTAACTGGATTTTTAAAAGCTCACGCTTAAGATTGAAGTGCTTGTGGCAAGTTTTTGTTGACTGGAAGGCCCCTCTTCTCTCTCACAGTTTCTGAGAACTTCTTTGTTATTTTCAAACAATGTGCAAACAGCAGGGAGGAAAAATAATATTGAGTTTTTGCACAGTCTACTGTTCCTGGAAAAGCTCATCCTGGTTCCCTACTCTTTCTAGTGCTTTTCATTTAGTTCAATTGGCTTCAAAAGAGCCACGCTTATTAAGAGACTGTGAGGAGGGAGATGGCATGAAGGACTATGACTCTTCTTTTCCCTATCTGGGGATTGTAGGACAAAGGAATACACAGATGTGGCCAAATATCGTTTTATAAGAAGAGGAAAGGGAGGTTGGGATGATTTGATTTGGCCTTTGTCCACAAAAGTGAAAGATTACATAATGGAAAAGGATGTACTGCACTACAAAATTCATGCTACAGCTCTCCTTGAGAGCAAGCAAAGATGCTACATATACAAGGACAGCCACCATGGCACTACTTCTAATAGCAAATTGCTAAGTGTTCATCAGCAAGGGACTGGTTAAATGAATTACAGTGTTTGTGCAATAGAATACTGTCATAGGCACTGATATAGAAAGTTTTCCAAGATATGCTACTGAGCACAAAAAGCAAGGTTAAGAACAGTGAGCACATTATGCTCAAGGGAGAACTGGGTGGTAGGGAGTTTGCCTTTAACCTCTACAACTTTTTGGAGATTTTAAATTCTAAATGATGTTATATACCAAGATATAAACAAACATGCAAAGTATTATCTTTAGGAAAGAGAAAATGATGGAGCAATAAATGTCTCCTTCTCTGCGTGTGGGTGCCACATCCATATGTTGACTTCTTACCTTAGATGGAGGTTGGCAGTGGGTGTGATTCAATGGATATCACTGGGGATTTGAACATAGCATGCTTCAGTCACATGTCATATTTTCTAAAATGTTGTCGGAACATACTTCACCCCTTGTTGGTTGGTAAGCAAAAATTGCTGGGGCTCTTCTCACCATTGCTGATTTATAATCAGAAATCTGGAGTAACAAAATGCTGCTCCCATCATGACAGCAATGAATGACAGAGGCCACTGAGCTCACATCTCCCTATGTGCTCTGTGTGCCTACCTTTGTCTGGGCTCACCCCCAAACCCAAATCAGTGCTACAGTTCTGTCTCCATTTTCTTAACAGCCTTTTCACAAAGCTGCTTAGCATTGCCAGAACTGGCAGCTCACTTTTCTCATTAGCAAAACTATTTTCTGCTGGCAACTGACAGTTGGGGATAGGAAACATTTCACTTAATTTAGCTTATTGTTTACTTTTGGCAGGAAAACCATTGGTGTAAGTGGCATCCAAACAATGAGGGTAAATGGTCAAGTTTCACTGTGAGGCTCATTGAAGAAAGAACATGTGAGAAACAAAGCCCCTGTCTTATCAGATGTGTGGGTCAAAATGCCCCTGATTGCGAAGTGTAATCAGTGGTCCTGGAGTAGGCTGTTGCTAACTTGTGTAACATGTGGGACATAATTGAATTAGTATGTCTGGTCTTTGGGCAGCTGGAAGGGGTGGTGTTGGTGTTGGGGGTGTACAGTCTCAATACTTGGGCAGCCTGCTTTTCCTCCTTTGCCTTTTAAAACCCAATATGGACCTGGGACATTAACTTCAAGTAGGTTATAGAAATGGTGGTGGTCAGAAATATTCACTATTTCCTGTAATGGAAATAGTTTAGTTTCCACTATGACAATTCTATTGTTTGGGGAGTAAGAAGTTGGAGATTCAGCTATAAATACAGCCTTATCCAAATTTCTCATCCCACCAAAGTCCAGGCAGACATGAGCATCTCTTTGTAGGCTGTTGCTCTGAAGTTGACATGATTATAAGGCATTTAAATCAAGGTTTTCAGATCATAGACCTGAGTTTTTTTTTCCTTGTCATCCCCCTGGATGGTAATAATGCATCTTACCATCTCTTGATGGTGGCCAGGCACCAGTTTGCATTTAGGCAGTTTCTCAGAGCTCATAAAATTCCTTTCCCTGGAAGGAAGAGGGCTTTGTGATCATTAGACTATGGGCTCCATGAGGGTAGGACCTGTTATACTTTGAATCATGAATGACCCCCAAAGTTCCATATGTTAAAAGTTTTGGTCCCCAGTTGATGGTGCCATTGGGAGATGGTAGTGCCTTTAAGAGGTGGGGTTTTGTGGAAGGAATCTAGGTCATTGGAGGCATG